TTGATATTAAAAAAATTTAAGTACAATTATTAAAAAATACTTAAAAATTAAAACTTGAAAGAAAATATAATAAAAGATAAATATATTATTTTTAATATTTTTTAAAAAACTAATTTGATATATGAAAATCTTATAAGAAAAGTAATTAAACTAGTATTTAAAAATATAATTTGATAATATTTTTATTTAAATTATAATAATTGCAAAAATATTATTGTTTGCATTTTTTTATTAATTTTAATATAGAGTATTGACTTCATATTTATTTAATTCAATAATTTTGTTTTTATGTTTTAATTATTGATAATATACAATGATATGAAATGTAATTGCTATAATTTTTTAAAAGTAATAAGTAAAAGAACTTTTTTAATAAGAATTTTTTTATATAAATCAAATAAAATAATTAAAATATTAAAATAATTAATACTTCAAAAAATATTTATAAATAAAAATATATATTATTAATTTAATTAATAATAATATATATATTTAATTATATAATATATTAATTTTTTTATTATATAAAATAATTTAAATAATATAAAGATTTAAATTAAAACTTAATTAATATTTTTTTAGTATTTATTAATTAGAAAATATGAAGTTTTAAATAAAAAAAATTATTTAAAAAAATAAAAATCATAAAAAAAAATAAAAATTTTAATATATGTTTTATTGTTTTTTAATTTGATAAATTAAAAGGTTAATTTTTATTTAAAGTCTTAAAACAAACCATTACATAATTATATCTTAATTCCTTTATTGTCCAAAGCAAAGCATAGGACTTAAAGAAAAATAATAAGTAAAAAAATAGTGACTATCCATATTTTCTAATGTTCGAAAACTTCTATAAAATTTATAAATATATATATTTTAAATTATTTAAATAATATTATATTTAAATTATAATGTTTTTAATTATATGTTAATTTGAAATTACCGTATGTGTATCAATTATGCATATTAATAAAAATTTTTTTAAAAAAAATTAATTAAAACAATTATTTTAAAAAATTTAATTAAACAGTAAAATATATAGTATATAAAATATTTTAATAAATTAATAAATTAAATTTAGTTTAAAATAATGCTTCGAACCCTAACGGTTCCCGTATCCTAGTTATTAATGAATTAGTTTATTTACTATTATACCATTAGCGATTAAATTTTTTTGTGATGTGAAAAATACAAATTATATATCATTGCAAAATACGGTGGCGTGCATCTAGGGGGTTGGTTGTAAGCAAATGTTGCGCAGATCCTAAAATAGCTAATGATCTAAGATGGATGTTGCACTGTAGCACTTGTGAGAACAAACCATTAATCAAATTTCCAAATTTAATAACGGTTAAAACACAATCAAAAAGCAAATTGGTTGGGGTTAAAACAGTCGAACGTATAATCTTTTCTGCTGCCGTCTTATCCCGAGATTGAGCACGGCTGTGCACCCTAACATTTGAATATTCTCTATAACGCGGTGAATTTTACACAAGGGGAG